ATTCAGCTATGCATTTCGGAGCTTCAGAGAATTTAATTATGTACACGCATTAACCGAAACTGTTATTCGATTGTGAGTTCTAAAAACACTTTCCATTTTCTTAACAAATCGACTTTCTTCGCCTTCTATGTGCCATGTCCCTTCAGGACGTTGGAGATCATGACTCTACAGTTTCCTGTCCTTTGTAGTTCTTAATAAATTTTGTCTTTTTAGCATCTCTCCTAGACCTTAATCCACCATCCATTTACTAAATCTCTCTAGGTAGGCTATACCTTGTTTTCCTATATCACTCTTGCCTTCAATCCATCCTGTGAATACCAAATTTTCCAAGCCCTCTATCTCATTATGTGCCCTAGAAATTTCAAGTATCTTATGTAATGTATGTGTTCATTTTATTTACGTTTTCTCTAAAATTTCGTCATTGTGAGAAGATTGTCCTGCATTAATTGCTATATAGAAGGGCTAATATTACATAATAATTCAACACTTTTTTCTCTGTTTCTAACGAAATGCATACTCTTAATAATTTGCTTAGCTTTTGGAAAGCATCTTTCGTTATCCCAATGCCTTTTCGGATTTCAGTGTTGCACTTTCCGTCCTCTGTTAAAAACATTCCCAAATATTTAAATCGTTTTACTTTTTTATTTTTCATATCTCTAATTTGTAACTTGCCTGTTGGGCTGTTCATTTTGCTAACAACCAAGCATTCTTCCTTCTTGCAACTGATGTTTATTCTTTTCTTATCGCTTTCTTTCTCTACCTTCTGTACCAGTAAAACTAAATTATTCAAGATTATTGATGAGAGTAGACTTAAAATGCTGCATAATATCTAAACTGGTCAGCTATAGGTTGGCCTCCTTAAAAGGCCTTAGTATTGTTGGGATCAAGAACCAGTGGTCGGTGATAAGGATAGTGTTAGTGTAGCAGTTATCAGAATTGTAAGGGAAATAGCCTTGCTGTATTCGATTTTCATAATACATATAACCTTGGCAACAGCATGAATACATCTTCCTCCAGCTATGGGTTGAGTAGCTTGACAAATTGGTTTACCTTACCATTAGGTGGTAATCAGTCTAGCATAAAGAAAACTGTGAATTCAAAATCAGTTTGAAGAGAGATGGACTTCTTTAGGGATAAACTCTGATCACAACATACGCCTCTTTGTGTTCGATCGTAATAATTTCAAACGTGTTTTCAATGATGATAGGTCTTTGTTAGCTGAAGTACCGTATAGCCTTATACAAGTTTGGTTGTCGTGAATACTGGTGGCCCTGTAATAATATGCTCAATAAGGGTAAGTCATCAGCCCCTCTCCTCATTTAGTTTATGGTGTTACCATTTTCTGTTGATATAGCAATTCTACTCTTGACTCATCTGGAATATGTTTACATGTGAACTGAGTCTATACTGTGATATGGTTTCTGTGCATGGTTTCTGCTGTCAATTCCAAACCTTATCCCCCCCCCAAAAAAAACCGTGGATATTGCTATCAAATCTAGGCTGGTGCTTCTGACTCATGACAAAATCCATAAAATAAAATACAATGTTATCGGTCTTTACCTGGCATCTCGGATTTAGCTGATTTACTACAGCTTTAACGTAGTTTCCTATGCTTTTTTCTATAAGTATTTTCATGGTACTAGATTGGCTGTTAGCTCTCATCATTTTACAATTGAAATTATTAGATTTAACCATAATAAAGTTTCTTCTTTCGCAATTCTCGGTTGTGGAACTTTCTTCTGTTGTTTTTGATCTTCTGTCAATTAATATCTTCCAAAATCTAAAGCAATGCCAATCGCTATCGTCTATCTCCTTAAATCAATTTTGTTATTGTTCCCTCTTCTCAATAATGTTTTCATCATATTCTTTCACTCTCAGCCAGGCTTTCGGCCATATCATGTTGAAATATTGGTTCCCGTATGATAACCGAAATTAAGCCACGTTGAGCATGGTCTGCAATTTGATGGGTGATCACTTTGAAATACCAGGTAATGTAAGCTTGGATGTGCGAGCGGTGTAATGGATAATTGTTAATCAGAAAGTTCAGTTGGGTTCATTATATTTACTTACACACAAATAACCTTAGGAAAGCTATGAATCCACCTCTTCTCTCCCCAGATATGGGTTAATGATAAGACTGACATCGCTAAATGATATTATCACTCCATCCAAAATTTTTACAATGTAATTTTTTTTTGCTTTGAAATAACTCACCAAGTATAGATAAACCTAGAAAACGTACAAATCATTAAAAAAAAAAAAAAAAAAAAACACTCAGTAACCCATTGCGTCATAGTGGCGTTATTACCTTGCTTGGCGGTGATAGAAAAGAAAGTAACCCCAAACAAAACTTAAACATTTGGTAAGAAGCTAAAAGCATCCGCACTTTCAGATAACGTTTGGGTAAAATTTCGATAATAGTTATCTTTAGTTTGGTTTATTTTTACAGGTTATTTTCTTTCGTTGCGTTAGCGATCAACAAAAGTAAAATGAATTATGCACAATATTTATCATTGCCTATACTGACGAAATCAGCACGCCTTAAGGCATTTCTATTTGGGGAATGGTGTTCTCAGTTATTTTGCACTTTATCTTACACTTTATTCTGTTTATCTTTCGCGATATGTTTTGAAATATATTCTTCGTAAAATTGTTATTGACGATAAAACATTGAATGGGAAAAGATATTTTTGATCAGCAATTTCTTGAAACTACTATTTGTTCTATGTACTCTATGACACAACATTGCTACTTTCTTTCTCTAACGTCTCTCTTTTTCTATCTATCTAAAATTTTTGGCACAACAGCAAAAAGCGTTAAAAATAAAGGGGATCGGATCAAGAACATATCAGCAATCCTCAATATATATATATATATATATATATATATATATATATATATATATATATAGTTTTAAAAACTAGAAACCATTGATTTTAATATTAAAAGTCTCTAGAGCCCTTTCAGCCAACATCTCATCAGGAGACAATCGTTGGATCAGCAAAATGAATAATAGCGATATTGAAGAGCAAAAAAGGGAAACACACTAAAATAACGAACAAGTATATAACTGTCCCTCGCTATTTATTTACACGATAACCCTTCCTCGTTACAAGTATATATACTTGTTCGTTATTTTAGTGTGTTTCCCCTTTTTTTGCTCTTCAATATCGCTATTATTCATTTCGCTGATCCAACGATTGTCTCTGATGAGATGTTGGCTGAAAGGGCTCTAGAGACTTTTTAATATTAAAATCAATGGTTTCCTAGTTTTAAAACTATTTATAAATTTTGTACCTCCAAACATTTTGTTTATATATATATATATATATATATATATATATATATATATATATATATATTTAATATTATTATTATTAAATATAACAGACTATGAATGTCTATTATATCTGATCATGTGCTGTTCTAATGTTCAAATGACTGCTTTAATTTCTGGTGAAAATAATAAATTTTCCACCATTTGAATATTTTTTTTATTAAGTCAGTCTTAAGCTTTCGACTCACATGAGCCATCGTCACAGTGATTCTAAAGACATGAAAATAAGATGATATTTCGTTATTTTGACATAGAAGATTGCTATGCGACAATAATAGTTCCGGAATAGCAGACGCAGATCGTAAGTTCAAGATGCAGTTCTATGACGCCATTCGACGCGATAGATCGAAGTATTAGAACAGAACCAATGTCTAAATGCAATGTAATGTGTTGTGTCTAGTTTGAAATGTAATTTTGTTGAGTGTGGGTTGCTTCATTTTAATGTAGAAGGCCTCCAATTGCTGAAGGTTCTTTTTACTGTGTGTATGTGTGAGTATTATTGTGTTATCAACTAATATCTGTCTAATATTATGTACATGGCTTTTTTAAGAAAAAGATACCCGTGTACATAATATCAGACAGTTATATTGTTATATTTGATATGTTTAAATAATGATCTGCTTCCCCGACACACACACACACACACACACTGTATATATGTATATATATACACACTATATATATGTATTCATATATATATATATATATATATATATATATATATATATATATATATGTATGTATGTGTGTGTGTGTGTGTGTGTGTGTGTGTGTGTTAGTAATTTCACCCCAAGCAAAACGATAATGCCACAACGACACAAGGGTTTTACTGTGAATTGAAGAAAATGAGAAGACTTTAATAAGTAGAACGATCAATAAAAGAACGGGTTGCCCGGATGACAGAATATGGTAATTGACGTTGTATTTAAATCTTCGAAGATGGTAGATGGCAAGGAAACAAAAAGAATACGAAAAGATAGTTTCGGATGCTAGAAGGGAGAGAACTATTAGAATAGAACTTGCGGTTATATATAACCAGTCCAACACAAACAAAAACTGTGAAACCTTTTTGCCAATCTAGTAGCACGCTTGAATTCAGGAAGTCGAGGTACCAGGCAGGAAAGTTTGTCAGAATAATTGCCATGAAATTTTGGTGGGAAAGGGACTGAAGCATCTCGAGATATATAGTCAGTGCATCAGACAAAATATGGCAGTAATATATCGGAATTTTAATCATTTTCTGAAAACAGTTTACATACATTGGGGATTTCATCCCCTGCTATATTCTGAGTTTGCTACCTTAAAAAATGGGAACGGTCTATAATTTTCAGAGTAAATCCATCTTGGAAGTGAGTGATGGAATATAAAAAAATCTAGAAAATCACGTTGTATTAATTTTTGAATATTTATTTCTTTTTTATTGAAAAACCAACCAGCAATGATTCAGGCCCCACAGACTGGTTATGTGACCAGGATACATATAGACTAATCCTATTACTCAATTACTCATTACCTGTATAAAATCAAGTACTCATTACCTGTATAAAAGACATTAGTTCACAGAATCATTCAATGAATCAGAATCTAATCTCTCCATAATGGGCAAGACGAAATAATTGTCTAAGTACATCCGGACAAAATTGTATACCTGCACAAGACTGGAATGGGATCCAAGACAATTGGCAACCCGCTAGGTGAGAAGGAGTCAACTGTTAGTGTGATAATAAGAAAATAGAAGAAACACTAATTGACTATCAATCTCACTCGGTCTAGAGCCCCACGCAAGATCTTTCAACGTGGAGTGAACCGGATGATGAGAAAGGTGGGGAAACAACCCAGAACTACGTGGCAAGAGCTTGATGATGATCTCAGGGCAGCTGGGACCATAGTCACCAAGATGATCATTAATAACACACTGTCGTAGTGGACTGAAATCATGTAGTGCCCGTAAAGTTCTCCTAATCAAGGAGGCATATGTACTGTCCCGTCAGATGTTTGCAAATGAGCACCTTGATAATTCAAATGAGGGTTGGGAGGAAGTGCTGTGGTCTAACAAGACTAAAATTGAGTTTTTTGGCATCAACTCTACTCGCCATGTTTGGAAGAAAAAAAGATGACTAGGACAACATCCCAACCATTTAGGGCAGTTTCTCTGCTGAGGGGACAGGATTACTACATCGAGTCAAGGGAAAGATGGATGGGACTATGTACAGGAAACTCTTGAGTGAAAACCTCCTTACCTCAGCCAGAACACTGAAGATGGATCATGAATGAGCATTCCACTATGATAATGACCCAAAGCATACAGATTAGGCAACAAAGGAGAAGCACATTAAGGTAAAGGTAATGCAGTGGCCTAGTCAGTCTCCGGACCTTAATCCTTTACAGAATCTTTGCAGGGAGCTGAAGCTTTGAGTTGCGCAATGACAACCTACAAACCTTAAGGATTTGGAGAGGATCTACAAAGAGGAGTGGGCTAAAATCCACCCCACGTGGATCTGTAAAACCTTAATAACCAACTTACAGGAAACGTCTGGCTGACGCGCTTGCTAACAAGTGATTCTTCATCAAATACTGAGTTGTTTTGCTATGAGGTGAAATACTTATTTTTTCAATAAAAAAAGAAATACATGTTCAAAAATGAATATAATGTGATTTTCTAAAAGTTTTTTATATTCTATCTCTCATTTTCAAGATGGACCTACCCTGAAAAAAGATCGTTCTTATTTTTGTAAGGTGGCAAACTCAAAAAATCAATAAGAGTTGAAATACTTATTTTCCCCACTGTACCTCAGTAGATAGTCACACTATAAATTGAGTTCCGTCAGGTTATTTTGCCTCAGACATTCCCACTGATGTCACGACTGCAGTACATGTACCCGGAGGAGCCAAATGAGTTACTTGTCATATCGATAGCGATTTCTTGAAAAATGAGTTTTAAAACAAAGCTGAATGCATTTATTACGGATTTTACTGCAGAATAACGCTGTTATTTTTTCTTTACTTGATGTAATTTTCCATCAGACTTTCCTAAAATTTAGAAAAGAATAAACACAAAAATTAGACTTTTTTCTTCTTCCATTGCGCCTCTAGTTGAGTCGCATATTGAGAATGTTTTCAGTAATTTCTTTCTTACACTAGGTAAGTATATAAAATACCAGCTGAGCATGTACGTTGGACATTTTCATTTTGTTATGCATATATATATATATATATATATATATATATATATATATATATATATATATATATGATTGTGTGTATCTTTGTGTTTGTGTAGAGGTGTGAGTGTGTGTACATGTATGAATATGCGAGTGTGTGCATAGTTGTTTATTCTTTCATTCTAAAATATGAATAGTTTATACAGAAGACATTAAACTTAGATTTATCTCAGGCGAACAACATGCCGTACAGATTAGGAAGGGAAATTATTTCTTCCTGTCCAAGTTAGAATTGATGGCACCGGACACCCATGTACATAAGCTTTGTACATGCACATACACATACATACACTTTTATTTATTTATTTATCTATCACTATTGCTGGTGTATGTTTATGTATTGAACACTTAAAGTAAAGAGACAACTTGCTTGAAAGTGCCATCTTTCAAAAAATACCCTTTATTAAAAGTGCAATCAATCTTTTATATATATATATATATATATATATATATATATATGTGTGTGTGTGTGTGTGTGTGCGTGAAGATGCAGTATGTATTCGATAAATTCATTTAGTGACGTCCATAAATGGAAGACAAACGAACGAAGGTTTATGCAGCCTGCTCCCTGTTTTAAATATTTTCCTTTCTCTTTTCTCTTTCAAATATATTGAGAGCCTTAACTTGCAATCTTTTAATCTGACATACGAAAAGAAAATACACGTGGCTTGTAGAACTCGTTACGAATACTAACAAACGATAAGCTGATCGCCTTTGGTAGGAACGCGTCCTCTCTGGTCAAACAAAAGAGTCATTCTACACGGTCAGAATTTGTAAAGACAACTGTGTCTGTGCACTTGTTCTAGGCCATCACACATCCATGCCACCAGCAGTTCTATCGTCGAGCGTCTATCCATTATTAGACGTGTGATAGATCAAAAACAACGAGCAGTGGTGAGGAGACGTCAGTTTAGACCTGTGGAATCGTTGTGATCCGATCGATGCGCTTACCGAACTAGATGAAACGTACACCAACGATCCCGAAATGGTCCGGTTCTTCTCCTAAAGAACTTCAATCAGTAGGAAATTGAATAGATAGGACGAGAGATGTATTTATGCAGACATCACTGATATGCACGTTGTAATACAAGTAACACTTGCTTGGTTGTCCTGGTCGTTGTGAACAATGAAAGCCATGTTGCTACATTTTCTCCTGTAGTGTTGAGATGTTGTGAGTTTCCCGCGTGTCGGTGTATGAATCAAGACAAACACAGTTGTAGAGGAAAATACTGGTATATTCATAAAAGCAATTAACAATAGAGTGATTAGTAGAACGATGGTTGGTTAGTACGAAACAATATCCAAATTCTATAGTCCAACGGTATGTACCGGGTAAGCTTATCTGGACTGCTCACGCTGACTCTCTCTCTCTCTCTGACGCTCCCCCACTCTCTCCAGAGCTGACTTATATAAGAGGGACCAGTCCATTACTAGTTAGAAGGTGGGTGCGCCCCAACATGTAGGAACCTAGGGTCAAAGCTATTGTCTATATACAGTTTCTAGACTAGGTACTCAAGTCCTGTACCGATGAATGGCCCAGAGAATGCGCTTTGCGTAGACAGGGGATTCCCGCTTCCAGGAGTGGATGATAGATAATTTTCAAGGACTCGTCTCTTCAAACATAAGTTTTCCTACGACTTCTGGTTTAAATCCGTCTGTTTCGTAAGTTTCAGTTTTTATAGAGAAGGAGACGTTGAAAGGCGCCAGAAACACCTGATCTATTCATGCATTCACTTCCGGGGTATCTTCAAGTCTGCTCTCGAACCTGACTGAAACGTTATTGAATCTCATTTTTTTTCTAGAAGTTGAACATGAGATCAGTCTTTTTTTAAAAAAATATAACGATTTTATTGAAGGCATTTCCTTTACTAATTTGTTCCAAACTTCTTTATGAATGCCTATACATCCACACGCGCACACACATATACGTATATGCATTTAATAGGTAAATACATATATGAGCTAACCAAAAAACATTTTCTACATCGATCACATTTCACTATTTGATTAAACATAGTTTTTGGTCGCACTCCTAAAATCTGATCTAATTACCGAATATCAGGAATCTTTTTAGAAATCCTTCTTAACCGATCTGAGAACTTTTCTGCAACCACTTGCACAAGAATTAAGTTATTTGAAACAACCATTCAGGTGAAATATATATGTCCATGCACAACTTAAGGCAGTCACTCTCAACGGCTGTGGCGCGTAACACTAGTGTGGCGCGCGATCCTCTTAAGTGTGCCATGAAATCTTGCCACGGCATACATATAAAGGCTGCGATGGATAAATTGTTTAAATTAAGCAAAAATGAAAATAATACTGATATCTCATTTTAACAGATATAATTATCAAATAAGACAAAAAAATATCTTGAAATACTAAAAAGTAAATTTATTCAATCGCCATTGGATTCAACTACTTCAGAATATCCTGCAATTCTGGACAGTCTCTTTGATTAAGTTCGGGAATGCTACTAGAATGGTTGCATTCAGTTCATATTTGGTGTGATAAGGAGTTGTCTTGGTCTCTCGCTCAACTGCACCAAACACACAATAATCAAAGGGGTTATAGTCTTGGGAGTTAGCTGGCCAAATGTAAGGGGTGATGTGGCTGCAGAAATTGTCTGACAGGCATGATTGGGTTCTCTTCCATATCTAGCAGGGTGCAGAGTCCTGTTGCCAGCCACCTTCTTGACCCAGGGTAGCCCTACTTCCTCAAAGCACTTGATGTAGGTATCTGTGATAAGCCTGAGACTCTGTGGAAAGATAAATAGAAGACTACCTTCGCCATCACTAGTAGTCACTCCGAACACTATGACGTTGACTAGATATATCATCGAACTCTTTCGGAATGCTCTGCACTGTCCTCAGATTGACAGGCAAACAATCGGAAATGTTTGTATTGGAGCTTCCGACGCGAATGCCAAGCAGTAAGGCATGCACAATAGAAATTATTATTCTGTGCAGTCGACAAAATCAAAAACAAAGAAAGCGCATGCAAATATAACATGGCGATAATTTGTCCATCGCACCCTGTATGTGCGTATATGGAAGTAGTAATTGTTCAGCGTTAGTATTTGAATAAATTAAACATTTTCAAATAATTATTTTCACTACTCTTGATACATTTAGGATTTCAAAACGTAAGAAATATTCAAAATTTGGTAAAAATGCTTAATCAGTTTTATTGCAGTTTTTTACTTCTTGTTTATGGGAATTACGATTCTCACCACTAGATAACATAAAAAAAAAACAGGAGCTAGAAAGACTACGCTCAACTGAAGAAGAAGAAGAACTGAAAATCTGTTTCACGCACATTCGACCAAACATTATAGAAATCAGGAAAATAAACCAGACAGCGATTCACGGTGAATAAGTAACACAAGCAGTTGAATAGAAATATTAAAATAAAGCAAGTTCATATTTATGTCTGTGTTTTT